ATATTAAAATGTGTTTTATGATGTTTGTAAATATTGTATATTGTCTGTACCTGAGATATAATTGAATTAAAGAGTTGTTCTTACTCAATTATCTCTCAGGCACAGAGGAGGAGTCTGTTAACTGTAAACTTGTCCCTTGTCCCCTCTCAGGTCCATCAGGGAAATGCCCCTGGAATATGATTTAAGAAACCCCTTTCATGGTGAGTCGCATAACAGCCAGCTGTGGCAGAATAAAAATCAGTCGACTCCCAGAACTGTGTGTCGTCCAGTTATTGGGGGGATTTTGCCTTGGATATTTGATTGCTTCCTCAGCTACATGGATTCTACAGCAGATATATTTATGTTGGAGATTGAAGCTCCGCTACAGTGATTAATAGGTGTTAGATGAGAGAAGTGAATTGGGGATAAACTTTAGGTAATGCATTGATTGATTCTTTAATAACTAAAACTGTGATTTACTATCTGGGTGCAATACATTAATATTTACGCAGAGACATATTACCCATAAGATGGAATAGGTGGCCACCTAGAGCCTTGGCTCAGACATGGCTAACCCAGCAGAGAAATCGATATCTCCCCCTACGCAGCACTGAGTGACCTCACTCCACTGGTATGCTTCTCTTTTCGGTGCAGGTCAGTTTAATAGCTCACCCCCCCCCACCACACCCATGGTCCCCTGGTGCTTCTCAATTATTTAAAGTGCGGCAGCATGCAAGTCATTGACAGAGCACTGAGATCACAAGGGAGCTCTTAAAGTGATTTAAACATATAGACGGGAAACAACATACCACAGTCAAAACTAGGGTGGCACTACCAATTTCCACTGGGGGGTGGGGTAACGGGTAACATACATGCCCACATAATCTCAGACATACACACACACATAACCAAAAACATACACACACATTGACAGATACACACACACACTCATAGACATACACAGATACACACACTTGTAACCATAGACATACATACATACACACACACATAACCACAGGCATACACGCATAACCACATACACACAATCACAAACAAACACACACATTCACAGACAAATACACACAATCACAGACATACATGAAATCACAGATACTCAACCACAGACACACACAACCACAGAAATAAACATAGTCATAAACATAGCCAAAGACATACGCACACACATAATTACAGACCTACTCATTTATAATCACACACACACAATCACAGACAAACACACACACAATTTTTGTTTTTATTAATTATGAGGTTCACCCAGGCACCCTACCTTTTTCAGGAAAGACTGTTGTGAATCTTCACCCTGGTGGCCAGTGGTTGGAGCTGGGATTTCTGTGCTATTCCTGCACAGATTCCATACATGTCCTCTAGTGATGCTGGGATGACGTCATATCACACTACAGGGTGTGCAAGGGAGCTGTGCAGAAAGATCACATTAAGTGCCTGCACACCCATCCAGTCCGGACACCTTTATATTTTAGCAGAGGAGGCACCTGCTGTCTGGGAAGGAAGGTGCCTGCCCTGCCAAGTGTTGGTTGTTTCCTGTGGGCACCCCCACACACAGAGGGTCACTGAACAATTTAGAGAGCAACTTTCCCCTTCCCCTCTGTAGTGACGCTATAGCACACAACAATGAAACACATTCAGACTCACCTCTACACACACACACACACACACACACACACACACAACATTCAGACTACTTCTACACCTAAAACCCAACCAGCACACACAATATACACTCAGCCACAACACACACATACAACATTCAGCTACCACACACAACATTCACAGGAAATAACTTGAGCCACAATCTGGCATCTTGCCTCGGGCTCTGGGCAACCTTGTGCCGGCTCTGTATTCACTAAATAGTGAATTATTGTCTGTCAAGTTTAGACAGTAATAACAAAACTCAGAATTTATCGTGACCTAAATGGATTTGTGAAAAAAGAACAAAGGCCTCAAAATAATATTGTTGGATAATATAGCATAAAATGTAAAAATATTCAACCACTAAAGTATTTCTCAAAATATAAAATTATTTGAAAAGCTTGTGCGAAAATATTAAATTGAGGCCAAAGTCGACTGCAATTTTTGTAGAGAAATTGTTTGAAAGTTTTTATAACAGTATTGAATCATTTGGGAAGCTTATTAGCCATATTAGGCTTGATAAAGGCTCACATATTCAGCCGAAACTTTACTGTACCTGTTCCTGAAATAAATTCTGTTTATTTTGGATACCACCTTGTGTACCCAGGTTTTGTCTTTCTATCTAGCTGTGGTTCTCCCTCTCACTTCTAGTGGTGGAAGAGCCGAATGACAGTTAATGACTGGACCACACTTAGCTGTAACTTACAAATCCGTGAGGAGTCTCCATGAAAAAGTGAGAATTTTAACTACCAGGCAGCTAAGAGGGACCACATATGTGTGGACTATAAATATAAAAATGTTGTATTAGTAGTACTTTTATATCTCACTCACTTTTCCTTGTAGTTCATTTTCATAGAGGTTAAAAGGGTCTAAGAGAAGGCAAAATATTGCAAAGGGACGCAGCAAATATTCCCATACATGGCCGCTTTGTGAGCTGACATCACTCAAAGTAGAATGATGATGTCATGTGTAACTCGGTGTATGAGACCTATGGTGTATGAGACCTATTGTAATAACCTGCAACTCCACCTTTTATACATTAATATCCAGCTACAGAATCAGCTGGATTTTGTGGCATGTTACAAAGGAGGTAAAAGTGAAAATATACTGTGTGCAAAATGCATTTATACCATTTATCATCTCTAAATATAATTATCTGGTACACGTAATTGTTCTGAATAGAGTTCTGTGAATGTTCTGGGTTTGTCGGCAAGTTTATACATGCTATGCTTTGAACAATGACTGCTCAGCCTTTCACAGGGTGGAATTTCCAAATAACTACGTCCCTGATAATAATTCTAATTTTCTTCTTGTTTCAAACACAGTTCCACCCAGGATGGGCAATTAAATTAAAACTGATCACAGGTCACTCCTTAAAGGTCCTCCTTTCTCGGCAGACGCCCTGTGCCCCGAATCATATAAAATAATGCAACAAGGCTTCATTTTCAGAAGGAGAGCCCGTGCCTTTTATCACAGGTACAAATGATAAATTTTATAAAATGTATTATATAACTGCTTGTGGAGATTAATGAGGAAAGACGGAACATATTGCAATGTGACTAGATTAAGAAAATCTGTTTTATAAAAAGAATATTATTGATTAATATTTATCAAATGTTTAAAGTAGAATTGTGTTGCCCCATGAATTTTAACATTATGTTTACTTACCCCTATATTTAACAAATATATTTGTGAGGTGTAAAAACTGAAATAAAATGTAGAAATCCACCTTTTTTATCCTGTAACTGGGTGTCTCCATCTCAGCTCCCTGTCAATCATTGTTATAAGCTCCGCCCTTTACACCTGTCAGTCATCAGTTAGCCTTTCATTGACTGTTTAATGGTGATTTTAGTTTAAGCTATAAAAGGGTCACAGTTAGAGTAAAACAATCAAAAAAATACCTTTTAGGCTAGGAATGGAAATTCTGCAGCGACTGAAAATACTCAGGCTGCAGTGAGACTGAGGAAATGATTTATCTAGCACAGTATTTTCATGACATATACACACTCCTGTCTATTGTGCAATTCCCTGAATGTAACTGCAATCTCCCGAGTGTCCGTACGTTATCTGACTTATTAATTACTTTAATGTTGCTGTGACTGATGCAGAAAAGAGGAGAGAGAGGAAATTGGAAGATTTCTCCTAGATTTTTTGCCTGAGACTCACTAGAGTACGTCTGCCACTTGCATGATTTTTGCATAACCAAATAACTAATTAAAATGTATCTTATTGTCTTATTTATTTATTTTAAATATCCCACGTGTTTATTTTCTTTACTTTATCTGAACACACTGGGCACGGTAAATAAATAAACCCCTAGAGTGCTGTGCTGGCGTTGTGTGCACACGTGTAGCAGTACTGGACGCATTTCTCTATCTCTCTCCGAGCATATATGAGCAGAGCCAATGCATTATGGGTAGCAAAGCCACCCTGAACTCTGAATTGCAGTGTAGAATTATTTTATTTATTTTTTTACTTACTTCTGCTTCATTATTCGCCCAGTAAACATTTTAAAGATGTTTTCTGAGTTGTGGGAACAAGGAAACTTTTATGATTATAAAACAAAATGTAGGGAGTGGTTATGGTCTGTTGATTATTTTTAGTGTATTTTGAGGGCTATATAAATGTACAAGTTATGCAAATTTACACAGCTTTACTTTTCATCATAATATACTAAATTATGTAAAAATAGAAACATAAAATGTGACGGCAGATAAGAGTTATTTGGCCCATCTAGTCTGCCCAAAAATGTTTCCATCATATCCCCCCTTTCTCGTCGTTCCTCCAAGCTATACATGTTAAGATCCTTTAACCTTTCCTGGTAAGTTTTATCCCGCAATCCATGAACCAGTTTACTAGCCCTTCGCTGAACCCTCTCTAAGGTATCAATATCCTTCTGAAGATACGGTCTCCAGTACTGCGTACAATACTCCAAGTGAGGTCTCACCAGTGTTCTGTACAATGGCATGAGCACTTCCCTCTTTCTACTGCTAATACCTCTCCCTATACTAAATGTGTCTTTATGCTCTAAATTAAAATTTTCAATGTTTTTCAAAAAACACTGAAACAAGTATACACATAGAAGACAGAAACAATGTTAATAAACTGAATGTTTTGTGATACTAAATACTAACCGATAGTGTATTGTTCTTTCCTCTTAGCGATATAACATTCTGAGACCTGGTGAAGCATGGCGTTGACGTTTCTGCTCCTGACGCTAAGTGAGTGATGTTCAGTTTGATCCTTTTGGAAAGTAAAGTAGGATTTCAATCTCACCTTTTATTTTATACATATCTTTAAAGGAATGCGTAGGCACCATAACCACTACCACTAATTTAAGTGGCTGTAGATCCCTGTTCCTAAAGATTGTTGTGCAATCAGAGGCCATCCTAGGCTTGAGCATTTGTGGGTGGTGGGTGGACAGCAGGATACTATGTTTGTTTGTTTGTTAGTGTTTGTTTGTTTGTTAGTGTTTGTTTGTTTGTTGTGTGAGTTGCATCTCACAGTAGACCTTTGATATAAAAAGATCAGTAGTTCTAATACTGGTTAATAAGGGGGAGGTGATAGCCCCCTCGAAGAAATATTTATCAGGTGATTTTTGGGCAGCGAGACTGGCAGGGGAGCATGTTCTTGTTACCTACTATTTGTTCACTGAGTTCCTGGCTCACATAGCCCTTGGTTTCCAAATGATTCAATATTGTTAGAAAAGCGTTTTTAAATTATTTATCTACAAAAACTCCCATAGGCGTTAATGGAGACTTTGAAATATTGAGAACGTTTTTGTAATATTGAATCATTTGGACAGTTTTTCTAACAGTATTGGATCATTTGATAGTCTGATTAAATGGAGGCCACAGATGGCAAGGTGTGTATAGAGAGGAGGAGGTACGACTTCCATGGTTGAGCATATTTTGCTACGGACTCAAGCCCTGGGTTTTAATGGTAACACCTCAGTTCAGCATTATCTGTGAGGCATTGTATTACCTAAATTGTTTTATGGGCTCTTTCACAAAGAAATATCGATAGAATGAACTGGTACCACATATGGACTTTTATTATATCAACTCTGCGAATATCATGAAGAAAACTGTCTGTCTTCTCCATGTTCTGAACAAAAAACATTAAAATGAACTGCTTTACTCCGAGCATTATGTAACGAAGTACTAGTGTGTATTCTGTACTGCAAAACAAATTAAACCTAAATCCCTACTTGCATTCCTTGCTGGGGTTCCCCTTCCATGAACTCTTCCTTTGTAGGTAAACGTTCATTGCAATGGTGCATCAGCACAGAACATTTGAGGAGGCATCCTTTCATGATAATCCCAACCCCACTAAGATTTAAAGATTAAACCATGCTGTTCTCTGTAGGCAATATAGTATAACTCTGAACGGGATAACCAGCTCTTTTAACAAATAATTTGTTTTTCTTATTTTAAACAGTGAAACATATGGTCTTATACTATGTGTTTTTGGGGGGCAGTTCTTCACCCGATCCTCTTAGTTCGTACACCCATGCTGTGGAGTGCGGAGGAAGGAGAGAGGGCAATCACCACATAAAATAAACTACAACATTTTTTTAAAAAATCTCCAACAGTGATGTGAAAAACTCTGCATAGAATAATTATTGATTGATGATCAGTGTGATTGTGCCGACGTACAGGTATTACTTTTACATTCGTAGCAAAAAAACCTGCGCTCACTGGTATCCTGTCAGCTCAAATATCCCAAGCAGGGTAACTGATACTTTCTTCTTTCTATACCTCATGCAAAAAAAAAAAAAAAATAGTATTTCTGATATAATATTCAACTTGAACGATTTATTTATTTCAACATATGAGCCGCTATATAAACTGGAATTTATTTATTTAGAAAATATTTTACCAGGAAGGATACATTGAGATTTTTCCTTTTTAAGTGTATATTTCTCTAAAGGATGAACAAGAAATTAAAAAATATAATTTTATACAGATTTACACAATAATTTTTTTCGGTAACCTGTATCCATCAGTTAAGTTACTGAAAACGCGATGCTTTCTCCAGGTTGAGATTATTTTAATGTCACCAAGTTAAATGTACCTGTAAAGTGTGGAGAGATGGCTGTTTCGGTGAGGAGGCCACCATTTTGGATTTGCATCAATAGTTCAATAGAAAAAAATAAATATCATCAAACAGTGTATGATTGAAAATGAATGGCAATGATGTTATTGGTTATTAATCATTTTACTGTAATTCATGCTTTTCCTTAGTGTCCATACCACACTTGTGAGGGCCGAATTTTCACTAGCCAATGCCTATTTGATCAGTGGAAATTCTGATCTTTGCCTACCATCACCAAGAAAATGTCCATTTCTGAAAAATGTCTTTTAACAAATACCTGTTTTTCCAGGTCTCTTGCCCACCTTAGTGAACACACAAACAACAACAACAACAACAACAACAACAGTAACAACAACTCCGCAGACAACAACGACCGGTACTGGAACAAGTAGGTGTTGATAGGAAATTAAAACCAAAACCTAGTTACTGCATGATATCATCCTCCTAATGGCTACTATCAGCATGTAGAAAAGAGCAATGGGTTGGGAGTAAAAATAACTCTGTCCACTGCCTGGGGAATAAATATGAACACGTTTTCATCTGAATTTATAGCAATACGTCCATTCGTCCAAAAGCCAAATTGGCAACCACAAATTACAACAAATGAAGTGAAGAACGAGTAGTTTGTTTGACGTTTTTGTCCCTCTGCATGGAGACACTGAACTTGGCTCATTGAGATTCATTGATTCAATGCATCGCTATGAGGAGGTGCTGATTGGCCAGGGCCATGTTTGCTGATTTCAGCCAATCCAATGCATTCCCTATAGGAAAGCATAGGATTGGCTAAAAATAATAAATTCTGATGATGTCAGCAAGGAGGCAGATCAGGGCGGGGCCAGTGCTGGCAGGCTCAGGTAAGTTTTAAACCCTTTTAAGGGGACAAGTCACCCGAATGGTGTTTTTAAACACTATAGGGTCAGGAATACATGTTTGTGTTCCAGACCCTATAGTGTTCCTTTAAAAATAAACCATCCTATGCCCCCCTTACCTTTAGCCTATGCTCGCTGTTATAAAAAAAAACTAACAACTTGGCAACTATTGCCCCCCCCATGTCCCCCGAGTGGGGCTATTTAAAGAAATGGGGGACCGAGTGTTCCCCCCAGACTCCACCCATTGGAAAACTCCACATAAAAAATGATACCCCTGCCACCCTCCCCCCAACCCCCCCAGTGAATAGGGGTCCCCAAGCTCCTAGCTAAACCCATAAAAAAGAAAAATCCTACTGTGATTGAGCTTGTGTACTCCGACTGAGTACCTTTGCCTAATCCGTTGGGGAGGGAGCCTGGAGCGCGTCAGTCTGGAGACTCTGTTACTGGGATCCCTAAAAATGCACACAGAACACACAGTTCCGAAGGGAACTAACATGGTATTTTTTTTCAGGACTAATATGCTCAGAACATTTAGATTGCTGTGACACTTCAATAAAATACAAATATCAAGAATATTAGTAAACAAGCAATTAAAATGAATATTTTCACTATATAATACCAATAATATTTTCAAATACAATAAAAAAGTAACAATATATACATTTTACTACTTATTTGGATGATCTCATTTGCATACAAGTATTATGCATTGAATCAATCTGTATGGAGACGCTGAACTTTCCTCATAGAGATGCGTTAACTCAATACATATCTATGAGAAGACGCTGATTGACTAAACCAGTACTGTCCCGCCTCCTTGCCAATTTTAGCCAATCCAATGCTTTCTCTATGCTGAAATCCTAAATACTGATGATGACAGCAAGGAGGCGGATCGGGGGCAAGGCCAGCGCTGGCAGACCTGCAGGGCGCTTGAAAAAAGGTAAGTTTTCTCACCTTTTAAGGGGCTAACTGGGTACAAGCTACCTAAATGGTGCATTTAGCATCTTAGGGTCAGGAATACACGTTTGTGTTCCTGACCCTATAGTGTTCCTTTAAATCAACCAATCATAGTAATCTGATAGGTAAGTATTGAGATTTACCTGTGAGTAATTTGGGTCTTTCAGTTGTTTAGTAAATAACTCCCTAATTCTTGTGGAATTGCCATGAGGATACCAAAAAGGAGCTATCTACTAACAGCTCCCTAATCTGGTATCCTTAAATATGGCAATCCCACAAGGGTACCAAGTGAGGGGCTTATCTACTAAATGGCAATAAGATTCAGTCCGTTGCACGGATCGGAATTTCAGTTCCAAATGAAAGTAATGGCCGGATTTCCTCTGAAAACGAATGGAGAAGGTCGAATTTTTGTACGGATCTAAAGAAACAGCAGCACCCAAGTATAGTGCTGTGTAGAGGTGCTGCCATCTAGTGGTATATTTAGTGTAAGCATATTTCTGAAAGCACCCTTGCTATTGTGAATAAAGGTTTATTCTGACATAAATTATGTCATGTAAGATATTATAATTTTATTCCAACTTCTAGCTGTTGCCTAGATTTTAAAATGTGTTCTCGACTTGGAAAATCTGAGGGCCTTTTTACCAGAGAATGAGTTGAAGTGAACTGCAAAATAAATCTGCAGAATGTAGGTCAACATACGAAGGTGGAAATGCAGCTGAACTTTGATGAAGTTTACCAAAATTGGGAATTTTAGTCTAAATTTTGGAAATCATTTTTTAATTTATTACAGCTCATTGTGAGAAATATAATTGTATGTGTTGGTAAATATATCAAATGTAATATTTCTTTGACTTTATTTCTTCAGCAACACATATCGACTGCGGGGTAAACAAAATATACAACTCGTGTGGCAGCATGTGCCCTGAGAACTGCACCCACTTCGATCCTCCCCCCGCTTGTACCAAAATCTGCTCTCCTGACTGCTTCTGCAAGGACGGTTATTTACTCGATGTTTCAGGATTATGTGTGCCAAAGGAAAAATGTTTGTCCTGCAGTGGGAACACCACGTACTCTAGCTGTGGTACCAGCTGTCCCGATCGCTGCGACAGAAAAGAAGGTTTTGTTGAACCATGCACAATGCAATGCATCGTGGGGTGTGTATGTAAACCTGGCTACGTGCATGTGTCTGGGAAATCTGGACCCTGTGTCCTTCGGCAAGATTGTCCTGTAAACAATATTAAAAATGGAAAATACTGATCCGTATGACATGTCTGGCCCCTAAACCTTAAAAACATATCTTTTATTACTTTTTGGTGTCATGACTACTCTGTCACATCTACTACTAGCAAATAGGAAGTCCAGAGTAACTGAAGAAATATAAAAGTATTTAGTGTATTTGTAGATAGTTTCTCCAGTGAGTGGAAGAAGGATAAGCTTTTAAAATAAGAGTTTCCATTTTAATGATACTTTATCTTTTAAAAATGTTATGTAATCTAGAGCGAAAGTAATTTACGATGTGTTCTATTGTCGTCGTTTTCTTTCTTCTTTTGTATGAAATTAATTTGAATAAAATTTTTTTTCGTCTACAGATATTTTTTTATTATTATTTATTGTTGTTATTTTTATCATTATTATGTTATTATTTAAAATAGTAACTTTTTATTATTGTTTATTGATCATTTCCAAAAGAAAAAAAAGAATATCAAAGCACAATCCAACAGTTACACCAGGGCTTAAAATTTCAAATCCTATGCCACTAGTCAGGCCTTAAAAAGTACTTGCCACTGCGAGCCTTGATAGTCCAAACCACACTCACCTGGAGTGAAAGCCGACCAATTATCTGAAACTGTTTTGGGCTATCATAACTTTGCCGGTCGGTCAGAACTTTACTCAAATAGCAATTCCGTTCTATCGAACAGATCTGAGCACTCAGATCAGAACTAATCAGGGCTATGATTTTTATGGGCTTCCTGCACTATTTTCATGTATTTTTGGGGTATTGTATAAAATGTGTATAAGTTTCTGTATCTGAGAGATAATTGAGTTATCCTAATTTGAGTTCAATTATCTCTCAGACACAAAGCATGCTGGGGGAAAAAACTGTATGCTTGCTATGTA